GGAAGTATCACGAACTTATATGAGAAAATGTTAACTGCAGTCTTAGTTAAACATTTTTTATAAAACAAGATATGATAAAGGAAAATATTCTTGTCTCTTTAACGAGTTGTCATGTGGTGCTAAGAATGGCGAGACTCACTGACGATGTCGGCGAAACGTTTGGGAATGTACTACGTCCACGGTTCAACTTTGGCAATGATCATGCAGACAATGGACTCCGGACGTGGTGCTTTCCGCTAAGGTCAAACAACTTCATGAAACAACGAAAGGAGACTGGGACCACACAAAAGGTCACACCATCTTGGTCTTCATACCTTCGAAGCGGAGTGTTAGTTGAATTTTGCCACAATCATATGATTTTACGTCACGTTTTCTTGCTTCCCAAAAGCATGAACACATCTCATTTGTGTGAAACAGCATTGTTGTATTATTGGCACAAATGTCATTCCATCTCGACTCCACTCCGGCCAGATGCACCATTGAAGAGAGCTTTTCCCATCCGACAATTCCCACTCGGAGACTGGCCCATCCAACCGAATCAAGCGATTATTTTCTCATCCATTTGCCTTTACCTGCTCCCCTCCTTTGTCCCCTTCTATGCATGTTTGTGTGTGTGTGTGTGTGTATGTGTGGTCTTGCTTTGATCTGCTCTGTCCGACTTGGGCCACCCGGTGACCGGATCGAGTCCAGGTGGTTACTGTGCAGAGTACACCCTTCGTGGAGCACCGAGTGAAGGCGGAGGGCACGAGTTGTCGCAGTTCCTCCGATCCCGCGGTTCTCCGCGCCGAGGTCGACTGTAACCACACGGAGCCGAGCACCGGTAAGACGATGCTTTTCCCTTGCCTCCCACCTCTTCCATTTACACATCGCCATTGTCAGTCGCCTTGTCTGACCGACTTCCGGCGCAATTCGCTTCTTTTCTCCGCTTTCCTGTCGTCAAGACGACCTGACGGTCTGCGACCGACAACGTAAACGACCATAGCAACGTTGCCGGCAAGGACAAACCGGACATGGCAACACACTGCTTCATACAGTGCGGCATGTGATGTAATCGCCTTAGCAACTCAACC